ATATCACCGGTGTTGGTTAACGTGGGACATGAACAGTCTTTGTCACGGATGTCGTCCGTTACTTCGGCCGCAAGCCAGAAAACAAAGTCCAGATCGCCGAGTCAAAGCCCCGGAGTCGGTGCTAACCTGAATGCAAACAGTTTCGACCAGAGATCGCAGACCTCTGAGGACGACATCACCCAGCAGATATCGAAGCGACTTGGTCGTATGTGTCTTGCGGAGGACGGACACATGCGATACTTTGGGGCCACGAGCCATTTGTCGATGCTTCCCAACGACCTCAGAACCATTTACCGACCAGATATGCACAGTTTCCGGGAGGAAAGCGAAATCGTGGTCAAACGGGCGCACTTGGGCTGGACTCCAGACCCGGAATACGAGCTCCATCTGACACGTCTCTATTTCGCGTGGCACAACACTTTCGTCAGCGAGGCGAACAAGGAGACGTATTTCGAGCAAAAGGAGCTGTACTACCGGGGCTTTGAAACAGCGTTATTCTCGCCCGCACTCGAGAATGCAGTGTAAGGTCCAGGGCAGCACCTTATAGAGTCGGACACTTATACAATTTTTCTCCTAGTCTTGCGGTCGGCGCATTGTATTCGACACGACGGCATCCTGCCATTCAGGACAGCGCTTCCGACTTTTTCGGCGCAAGGACCCGGTTATACCTCGAGACGGAAATGGACCGTCCGACGATAGCCACAACACAAGCAGCAGTGATTTTGTCGGCTTTTGAGTCCGCCAACGGCCGTGACTCTCGAGGTTAGTCCCCTTGGTAACGCAGTCAAGGCTATAGACATTGGGGACTGACGATGTCTAGGTTGGATTTACTCAGGTTCGATGACGAAAAAATCTATACCATATACCGTGCTCCAGGATTGACCGGGCCACAGGTGTCGCCGTCCAGATGACCACGGATCTCGGGCTGCATCTCCGTCTCGGCACCAACGACGACTATCTTGGAAATGAGGAGAACACTCCAGCTCTTGAAGACGTGCGCAGAAGTCTCTTTTGGACTGTGTACTCTGCCGACATGTGAGTGTTGCCCCCATACCAATGTAGCAGGTTTGAAGCAGGAAAGGAGCACAGGTTCCCCCCTTCGTGAGATGATAGAATCTCTTCTGACCGTCTTTGCGGGATACTAGGTATCACAGTACGTATAGTGGGCGGCCTTACTTGATGAGCAGGATGCGATACGATGCCCCTCGTCTGGATGCGTTGAACGATAGCGATTGGCAGCCATTTGATGCAGACGGCGCACCGATGAAGCTACCACCTGCTTTCGATGCTTCCGGTATTGGTTCCGTCACCGCATGTGTTGCGCAGTTGGCAATCAAGCTGCGAAAGATCTATGAAACACTGTAAGCCACCAAAAGGGGGAAAAAAAAAACATCTGCCTTTTGCATGTGCCTTTTTTTTTTGCTAAAGATTTTTCCCCTCCCAGATACGGCGGCAGCGCTTCTGTCTCGGAAGATGCTAAGCTCTTCGTTCCGGCCATGGCTAAACAACTCCAACAGTGGCTCGCGGCGTTGCCTCCAGCGCTTCACGTCGACTACGGAGAAGAACAGCCTTCTCCGGTCCCAGCACCGATTGTGCTCCAGCTTCAGTGAGACGATATCACCTACCTACCTGTGTGCAAACGGATTCTTTAGACAGAGAGTGCTAATCTTTGTGCCCCCCAAGCATATTATACCATCAGATCCTCATCATCCTCAATCGGCCGTTCGTTGTCCACGAATCAGACTCGGAAATCCTCGCCGGTGAGATGTGCACCAAATCTGCCGGCATCATATGTAAACTGCTGCAGGTGTTCAAAGCCAATTACGGACTACGATACATCAACGTCCAGGCGGTCGCGTCGACCGTCACGGCCGGGGTTGTGCACGCTTACGACAGCTGCATTTACTCGGGAGCCAAGGGCAAAGCAGCGCAGCATAACTTTGTCGTCTGCATTCAAGCGCTGGCCGAGATTGGCCAGTCCTTCCGAAGTAGCATACACGGACTGGAGGTCATCACCTCGCTGAGACGGGCCTGGCAGCACCAGATGTTCAAGGAAACCAGAGCGAAACGCCGCTGGAGAGGCTCGTCCGAAATGGGGGGAGACCATTTGCATCGGGCCCCAAGCTAAACTCGCTCGGTCGACCCATGGCCAAACTCTCCCGAGGCGTGAAACAGCGGGTGATTGTCAAACAATAAAGGCCGAGACATGTGCAAAGGTCATACGAGCACTTGATTCCAACGTCCCGACCAGCGTCCAATCTTCTTTTCTTCTTCACTTGACGGGAGAGCCGGGCGTACCATTGTTGGGACTTGCTATTCAGCCTTAGCGATTAGGTATATATATATGGCACTTGTCATGGCCATGGTTTGAGTCTTGGGAACGGAGGGGATTGACATGTTTGACATTCTTTCTAGGCGAGGAAAGTGCGCGCCGCTCAAGGCTTCAGCGACAATTCCTTGTATCGTTCTCTAGCCACCTCGTCACAGCGAGCTCGGTAGTCCACCGCACTGCCGTTGTAGATGACCAAGGTCCGCGTCTTCTTGCCGTCAACGTTGCTGTTGACCCCCGTGATCCAGGAATCGACATCGTTGACCAACAGCCCGTCGCTGCAGGTTCTGACATGCTCCGTCCACGCTTTCTGGCCTTGTTCCGTTGCCTCGATCACCGAGACGCCATTGTCGCGCGCATATCCAAGGAGATCCGCGATCCATTCGACGCTGTATTCGATGCTGCGTGGGAAATTCCCAAGAGCCGAGTGCGGACCCATGGCCATTAGCATGTTTGGGAACCCTGAGACCAAGAACCCCAGTTGCGTCTTTGGTCCCGGAGCCCATAATTCCTTCAACCGCTGCCCGTCAACGCCGACAATATCAATCGCATTAAAGCTTCCGGTCACAGGGTCGAATCCAGTAGCTAGATTTCAAAAAGACACATGATCAGCAAGAGCCCGCCGAATTTCGGGATGATACACAATCCAATTCCTAGACAAGAGAATGCGCAATGAATGAATGGCCTTACCGTAGATGATGACGTCGAACTCTCGCTCTTGTTTCGAGGTTTTGATTCCCTTCTCCGTGATGCGCTCGATGGGCTCCTCATTCAGATCCACCAACTCGACATTCTCCTGATTGTATACTTCGAGGTATCGCGTTTCGAGCGGGACCCTGCGCGTGCCGAACCCGTGGTCCTTGGGAATAAGTTTCTCGGCCACCTTGGGGTCCTTGACACGCTCCCTGATCTTCTTTGCGACAAATTCGCTCAGGAGAGCATTGGCCTTTTTGTCCGTGTAGACGTCGCGGAAGTTGCCCATCCACAGCCCAAAGCCAGGCTCATGGTAGTGCTTCTCCCAGAACGCTTCCCGCTCCTCTGGCGAGACGTCAAAGACACTGCGGGAATCAAATTGGTGGATGAAGCATCCCGGCGTCGTTTTGCAGATGGAGAATATCTCGTCGTAGCGCGCTCGGATGCTCTCCATTTCTTCGGCGTCGATCTTTCGGTTGCCCAGCGGCGAGCACCAATTCGGTCGGCGCTGGAAGACGGTCAAAGTGACCGCCGACTTGGCTACCTCTTGGATGGTCTGTATGCCGGTGGCACCTGTCCCTATCACCGCGACCCGTTTTCCAGCATAGTCGATGCCTTCCTTGGGCCAGAGACCTGTGTGGCTCCAAGCCCCCTTGAAGTTGGGAATGCCCGGGATCCGTGGCAGGACCGGGTTGGTCAGGGCGCCGATGGCCGTGACGAGAAAGTGCGCGCTGAACACTTCCCCCGACTCGGTCGTCACTTTCCACTGGTTACGCGCCTGGTCGTAGTGTGCCGAACGAACGCGACTCTGGAACTGGATGCCGTCGCGAAGCTTGAATTTGTCGACCACGAAATTGAGATAGCTTTCCGTCTCGGCCTGCGGAGCGAAATGTTCCTTCCAGTCCCACTCCTTCAAGACGTCTTTGGAGAACGAATAGCCATAGGTCCAGCTCTCGGAGTCAAACCGTGCTCCGGGGTATCGATTCCAATACCTATTTCATGAAGGAGTTAGGTACAAAATCCAGGCCCCTACTAACAGAAAAAGACACTTCGTCTCTTACCATGTTCCGCCTACGCCGCTGCCAGCTTCAAGGACTCGGGCAGAGATGTTGAGCTCGCGTAGTTTGTATAGCATGTAGATCCCCGAGATCCCTGCTCCGATCACGAGGACCTCAAAATCATGTTCGGGCGAAATAGAACCCATCTTTTTTCTCCCTTTTCTCACTTCTAAGCGACGAAAGTACGCGACGACTACGGTTCGATGTCTGCCCAAGAGGTACAGGGCGTTCGTTCGTGCCCCTTTATGTGTCAATGTGTTCGGGAATGGAGGACAGACAATCTGGCGCCAAGTAGCTCTTATAAAAAAACGACACGATGTAAGTCAAGACTTGTGAAAAGACTCAAGAGACTCAAGCACTAAGAAACCCCTTCTTAACCAAAGACCCGGTTTATGCCATCACTGAGTTATTTGCCCTTTTGCATTCAGCGAGACGTGGGTCATATGGCTGCGGTCCCTCCTTTCTGCTCTCCGGCTTCGCTTTCCCGAATCACCCCTGGGGAAGCACCTCCACGGACAGGATATAGATTCTTCTCCGAGAACATGAGTCTTGTGGAAAAATACACCTCGGTCCATAATGGACCGGGAAATGATCGTTGAAGAGAGAAACTGAACGATTAGGTTGCGCGGCTCAAAGGCTTTTCGTTCAATCGCTTGTAGGTCTATTCGGAGAATGCTGTGCGGGAAGGCGATAGCTCCAATGGAGCAATGTATAGCGTGAGGTCCAAGGAGATAGAAATCCCATTCTAACGTGGCTTGTTATGTGGGAGGCAAAATATCGAGTAGTATCAATTGTACATTTCCCATTGCAGCCTCGCCCACTTCCTCGACCCCAGGTTTTTGTCTCTCCAATCCCATTGTGAACCGCTAGCCTCCTCCCTCTTTCAACCGCGGAATCCACGTCTCTACCTCTAGCTTCGTCTACACAGAGGCCTTCTCAGAGTGCACTGCTGGCCCGTCGCCGTCGCCCTTGGTCTCCTGCACTGAAATAGACGTTGTGTGCGGATCGTCCGTTCCATCGCCCAGCATTTCCAAGAACCGCGCCTCCACCAGCTCGCTCGTGATGGCGGTTTGATGGACAACGACCAAGTCCGGGTCGCCAAACATGTCTGCGATTTCCTCCATGGGCTTGTGCAGCGTGTCGGGGAAGAAAACAAAGACGGTGATGGAGCCCAGGGCGGCGAAGATGATGAAGACGAGGAAGAATTTCCAGCCGATGCTTTCGAATGCCGTGGGCGCAGCCTGCAACCAGCAGATGTTGATGGCGTTGTAGACCATGAAGGCGATGGCACCGCCCTGTGCGCGGAGGTGGCTCGGCCAGATTTCCTGGATGTAGAAAAACTCGGGCCCGTCGAGGCACAGCTCGAAGCTGCATCCGAACAGGTAGATGAACGCCACGGCGGCCGTCTGTGCGGATTTGTTGGACCCGGTCAGGAAGTTGGCGACGAGGGCAGTGTAGATGATGAGGCAGATGCACTGGAGGGCGAAGCCTGTCCCCATCAAGTTACGGCGCGAGACCTTGTCGACGAAAGTGATGGCGATCATGCTGGCAACGCACAACGTCAGGGTATAGCCTGATTGCAGTAGCAAAGTATCCACGCCCGTGTAGCCCAGTTCAGAGTACAGGGTGACACCGTAGTCTGATTTAAAGGCCCAATCGTCAGTTATACTCCCACCAGGTCTGGACAGAATTGAGGATCAACCTACTCTGAATCACGATGAGACCCGCGCTCATGATGGAAAAACTGAGCATTGCAGAGATCAACGCGCGTTTCCGATACGATGGCCGCGTCAAGATCAATTTCCAACTGGTGTCTTGACTTTGATCAAACCGTATCTGCTCGTGAATCTGGTAGAATTCGCGTTTGGCAAATTCATCGCTTGGGTCGCTCGGGTCCGCGTGAAGGGCACGCAGGATCTTCCACGCTTTCGCAGACTGGTTTCGGGCAATGAGATATCGCGGGCTCTCGGGGAGCCACCAGCAGCCAGCTAGGAAGATGATCTCAGGGACCATGGCGATACCAAGCGGAGCACGCCAGGCGTCGGGTGAGTCGTAGTAGTAGAAGCCAACCCCGACAAACCCGATGATCGAATAGCCAACATTGATCATGACGGCGTGAATATCCGAGAGTTTGCCACGGTGCCGTGGTGGGACAATTTCGCTGATCCAGAGAGGAACGCCGCATATCGCTTGGAAGCCACTGATCTCAACAGCGTCAGTCTTCTTTTGTAGTGTAGCAACGCGGAAAAGGACATACCCCCAGCCCAAAAAGAAGCGAAATACAATAAACATTGCCACATTCGCAGCTCCAGTGAGCAGTGCCTGCGAAACAAGAGTCACGCAGATGGCGAATATGATCGATGGCTTGCGCCCATATCGATTTGCAAACCAGCCGTGCACGAAAGCGCCCCAGGTCGCGCCAACATAGTACAAGCTGGTGACGGCACCGGTCAAAGAGGCGCCGTTTGGACCGTCCAGGCCCATCTTGACAATGAATGACGGTTGTCCCAACGTCGTGCTGATCACCGAGGCTGTCATGCCCATGGACGCCGAAGCCATGGACATGGTCAAAACCATCAAGACGGTCTTGACCCTAACGTGGCCCTTTTCGTTGATTTCGTGCATTATGGCAGATGTGCGAGAGCCCTTTTCCTGTCCTTCAAAGAAGCTGTTTCCTTTTTTTTTTGGTAATATGGAAATCAGTGTGATAGAAGTACAGGGCACGAATTTGCTTGCTTCCCACGAGGCCCGTCCCAGAGGTGGGCCATTTATTCTTATGTGATGCCGATGCTAACGTCGGTCAGTACGGGGTACTAGCAAACCCCAGAGTCACTGTGGGTACTTTTGATGCGGAGCCATGGATGTGGCGGTGGCCGGAGAAGTGAAATCCGGGGAATCCTTCAAAAAGGAGAAGCCGACCGGTGGTCTCGACTCCAAAGGGAAAGGGGGGGGGACTGGGGGACGCGAGCCATAGTAGTAGACTAGCAGCATTTTAGTACGTGTACAGACATGTGGTTGGACCTGTGGAAAGTATCTCCACATATCTCAATGAGACTTTATTGGTTATATTTGCTGCTTAGCTGCTACGGTGTATGCTCTGTCTGATACATTTGCGAGGCTTGAAATTGCCGTCCCGCGTCCATTTTGCTCTCAATGTCAAGAACAGCTGCCCACGTTCGACAGTTAACAGCCTTTTTCAATCGCCGCGTCAACGTTAATGACCTGTCAGCACCAAGTTAGAGTGGAATGTCGAGCACTGTGGGGCCGCAGCGAGGGAGACATCACCAAAGGAGGACTTACGCTTCCAGAGATATATGCTGATTGATCACTGAACAAGAACAAAATCACCCTCGACACCTCTTCAGGCTCACCTATACGTTTGAGAGCCGTCTTTTTCACCAAGACCTCATTAACTTGGTCGGGATTTCCCAGCTGATCTGCAAGAGCTGTGCGAATAATACCTCTGATATTTTTGTTAGCCCCGTATCACCACCACCACGACAAAGGCAGAGTCATGGAAATACTCACGGGGCAAGGGCATTTGCTCGAATACCTCTTGGACCGACCTCGCGTGCGAGACACTTGGTAAGACCAATGACGCCCCACTTGGCAACAGAGTATGGTGCATTGAACTCGGGCCCATATTGGCCTGCAATACTGGCCGCATTCACAATGGACCCATGGCCCTTCATGTTATTCAGCTCCGCTCGCACGCAATTCTTGACGCCGTTCAAGTTAGTCGCCAGCATATCGTCCCAGTCATTGTCTTTGAGCACGTCGAGAGCGTATCCCTTTCCAAAAAATCCCTGGTGACCGACGTAGCCAGCCATGTTTGCGGCGCCGTCCAGTCTGCCGAAACGCTCTGCTACCTCCTTGACGGCAGCATCGACAACGTCGGCCTTTTGGACGTTGCATTCAATCGAAATGCCCTTTCCACCCAGCTTTTCGACCTCTGCGAGGACGGCGTCGGGCTTCCGCAGGTCCAGAAGTCCAACATGGGCGCCTTGTTGAGCAAGCATCAGAGCCGTTGTCCGGCCCATGCCCGAGGCTGCACCTGTAATAACGAAAACCTTGCCCTTCAGGTCACTGTATACGGCCGTGCCGTTGACTTCTTGGAATGTCGTCATATCGTTGTTGGGACTGCTGGTCTCGCAAAGTAGACAGGAGTGAGAAAGAAGAACTGACAACGAAGCTATAGCTTTGCGCTCTTCCTGTGAATTGCGAATGTTTAGGCCAGTTTAATGCTTCAAGCTTAAGCAAAGGTGTCTGATATGAAGTTATCTCGTCACAAAAAAAATAGCCCCGAAGGGAGGGGGGAGGCATAGTCTTCGCCATCTGTCGAATTACTGTCAATGCATACTGGTCTTTTGCAAAATCCACGGAGATTGTATTTAATGTGGGTAACAATGTTTCTATTAGGAAGGCCGAGTAGAGTCATCTGACATGGATGCGCAGACTCTGTGAGAGTCAAAACAATACGTAAGGAGTGCCATGAAGCGTTGTGAACAAATCAAAATTCAACAAATGTCCACCAAGACTCAATGCTATGCTTGAAATCAGATTTTTAGACAAAGTTTTGAATTTTTAATCCGGACAAAGGTACCCGGTACCAGCCAGCTGGTATTTCGGTATAGAAAGCGAGGGGCATTGTATCTCCGCCGTGGACGGAGCTCCGATCCCACACAGAGTCTAGGGGATGTTAAGAACAGAAAATTGTTTGACTTCTCATGAGCTTCGACGGCTCTGTGATGCATCAACTCTGCGGTGCTGACATACTACAACAATGGGATTGGCACTTGTCCTCACACAAACACTTCAGCACTGGTGGTGGGCCATCCTGTGTCTCTTATGCATTGCGAGACTTGTCCACAACTACTCGAAGCTTTCGTTTGTCCCCGGCCCAGCGTTGGCCGGCGTGACCGACCTGTGGAGATATTTCCACGGCAAGGCTGGCAAATGTATCGACGACTACCAACTGCACAGAAAGTACAACTCGAAGCTGCTGCGCGTCGGGCCGAACCAGATCTCCGTCTCGGATGCCACCGAGGTGACCAAGATCTATGGGTTGAATCCGATCTTCAACAAGGTGGGCCGTCTCCCAGTGTATTAGTTACGACTGAGACGGAAGCTTGAATACGCTGAACAATGATACAGGGGGAGGCTTATGTGACGCATAGCTTCACGAGCATTTGGGGGGAAGTGATGCCCAACCTCTCTTCGACGCGAGATGAGAAACTCCACGCACGTTTGAGGAGACCGGTAAACAACGCCTATTCCATGAGCACGGTCATCGACTATGAATATCTCATGGACTCTACCACGAATGTCTTCTTTGACGAGTTGACGGAACGTTTCGCGCGGACTGGCACAGTCTGCGACTTCGCAACCTGGCTCCAGATGTACGCCTTTGACGTTCTGGGTGAGATCACATTCAGCAAGCGCTTTGGCTTCCTGGAGGCCGGACATGATTTGGAAAACATGCTCCATCACACTGCTCAGCATATGGAATACCTCGGCACGATGGGACAGTTGCCATCGCTCGATAGATGGTTCCGACTCAACAACCCCTTTGCGCGACTGTTGGTCAAGCCCAATGCCATTGTCAGGTTTACCACCAAGCACATTCATGAGCACAAAACCCGGTCCGAGGAGCACAGTAAACCGGACTTTGTGACCCGCTTTCGAATGGCTCAGGAGAAATATCCCGACGTCATGACCGACCCCCAACTGATCGACTTTGCCGTCACGAATGTCAGCGCTGGCTCTGATACCACGGCGATTATCCTCCGCGCCGTCTTCTTCTACCTCTTGACAGATCAACCCAGACTTGAGAGGGTCATGGGCGAAATCAGGCAGATACTGGCAAAGCGACCAAGGGACCGCAGCTTTGAGGACCACTTCTCATGGGCCGAGGCGCGGCAGATGCCATTCCTCCAAGCCTGCATCAAGGAATCCTTGCGAATGCACCCAGCACTGGGGATGGTCTTGCCTCGTGTGGTGCCTGTTCAAGGCGCCACTATCTGCGGTGTCTTCATTCCCGGCGGCACCGAAGTGGGATGTAACGCATGGACGGTCCATCGGGACAAAGACGTATATGGCGAGGACGCCGACCTGTGGATACCAGAGAGATGGTTGGACGACGACGAGGAAAAGGTCAAGATGCTGGAGAGATACAACTTCGCTTTTGGCGCAGGCTCTCGGACTTGTAAGTGGTCGACCTTTGGTTTTTTCGACTCGAGTATTCTCTGATCCCAAAGCAGGTATCGGACGTCATGTCGCCATGCTCGAGATATCAAAGCTGGTGCCCGAGGTGTTTCGACACTTTGAAGTGGAATTGGTAGACCGCCATCGCTACAAAGCAAAGCCAGGATGGCTGGTGGTCCAGTCCGGATTGGATGTCGTACTCAAAGTGAGGGACCCGAAAACACTAGAAATTTCTCAGCAGACGGTCGAGTCATAGTCTGTATTGACGTCGGAAGACGAATGACCCATTTGAAAAGCGGCTCCGTGATATTAGACAAGTTGAGGCAAATGCCGACGTGGGTTGGCCCTGTAAGTTGGCGATGTATCGGAAGGCTGAGTATAAAAGTCGCTCTGAGGGTCGATAGATCTAGCTACTTCTAACATACCGTTACCTCGTACACGTTCTTTCACATAGGACCAATCCCGTGAATCCACTGTTGTACGAGGTTCCAGATTGTACGAAAGTCGTCGAGTCGTGTTGTAACTGTGGAGATCGGACTTTTTTTCGACCGAAAGAAACGCCTGAGGGCCATTGGTTCCACCATTCGACTATGCGACTTCCTCAGGGCCATCGTCCGTGACTGGTCCATTCGTTTGATTTGTCGAGACGGACTACTTGTTTATTACAAAGCTCCAAGACTTGGGGCACCAGGGGGAATGCGGCTGTTGAGTGACGTGATGAAGCTTGATAGGTACTCACTACCTGGACGAGGATAGGGTCGCAGCTCAGTTTAGTTGGACTGGGTCTTTCTTCTTCCACCTCTTCGTCGCTGACAAATGAAACGGGGGAGTGGGTCAGGTGGTGGACGTCTTGGACAGCAGCATTGAATGGTATATAAAGAAGAATGGCAGCCATGCACACAGGTTTAAGAGACACTGTATAGACCTACTCTGTACGAAGGATTCATATCTACCGAGTACTGTGTAGCAAAAGAAAATGGCTTCAAAACAAGACCCCGAGAGAGCGAGAATCCAGAAATGGCTCGAAGATGTATGTGGCTCTTCATTCATTGCATTCCCCCCTTCTTCAGCCTCGTCACCTCCCCTTCCTTCCACCATGTATACCCTCACGCCTCACATCACCACGCCTCGCTATTAGTTGAACAGATGCTCAATTGACGTCCCACACAGAACCACGCCGCCTCCGCGACCCTCTCGGCCTCGCACTGGTGCAACAACTTCTTCTCGTCCGACATCGTCCTGCAATTCGGCAACCACCCACCCGTCCAAGGCCTGGAAAACGTGCGTGACCACTTCTTCCCACCGCAACTGGCCCGCCTGGACCTGATGGAACACTACATCGAGTACTTCGACTATGTGGCCCCGCGGATCTACCAGGCCGCCCGGATCAGGTACCGCGTCAAAGGCGACGATCCGAGCGGGAAGGACGATGTGGAAATTCCGGGCTTCGCGACGTTCTACGTCAGGGAGAAGGAAGACGGAGGACTGATCTGCTACCGTATGGAAGTATTCATCGATTCGAGGCCGCTGGAGAAGAGGTTGCAGGAAGTCTTCAAAGGCGAATAAGGCAACGCTATGATTGAGGAAGATGTATATAGCACCTCAATACCCCCAGTATGCGCTACCATAATCAGTCAGGTATGAGGTACACGATCGCATATCCACCAAAAGGAAAATGGGCATCATCACAACATTACCGCTGCCGTCAATCATCATTCTTCTCTGCACGACCTGCTTCAATCTTTCTCATTGATTCGTCTGTCCCAATCCTCCCCAATTTTCAGACTCTCCACCACAGCAACCCTCTTCCCGAGCCCTGTCCGCTCTTCTTTCTGCCACCATTTTTCTGTTGCCTTGTTCGTTACGGATTCGTCATCCGTATCAATCAATCCACCATGGCCACCTTCGTCACCAATCACAATGACAGTCTGCTTGACCCAGCCAGATAAATCTGAGACAATTTCGCCATCACGACCGCAGAGGGACTCTTGGATATACACAACCTCCGGTGAAAGGCTGCGGAGGATATGTTTGTGGCCGTTATGCGAGGTGTAAGGCAACACCATAGTGTCTCTGTCAACAATGCCAACAGCCTGATTATAGAGGATCTTGAAGAGAGAGGTTGCTTCGTCCATCGGGTTCGGATCGACTTGGGTCAGTATGCCATCACTCGGGAACTCCCCTGGCGTTTGTGCGGGAGTTTGTGCATCTGCGTGGCTAATGTTCGAGAATGAAGATGTCATAGACTGCGAAGGCCTTGTTGCGGTGTGGCTGAGTGGGTGTACTTTTAGCTCTGGGGCGTAGATCAAGACGAAAATCCGCGTTGTGTCGGGATCGATGTATTCCGGGAGATGTGAAAGGATTGACTACAAGCCTCGTTAGCATCCTCATATCGCAGACCTGGAAACATAAACTTACCGCGAGCTGTTCAACATCGGACTCGGTACCCGTTTCCAATGCAACGGCTGATACTACTACAGCCACTGTCTTCCTTTTCCGGTTGGCAATGGATACTGACTTGGGGAGCTCAATACTTCCGGAAAAGAACTCGTCGGCTGTTCCGCGCCTTTGGATGCCTTGTTTGATCTGCCGGTCATTGTCTCGCTGCTCGGCCTCCTCGCTCCATCGTTCATGATCCTCGTAGCCTTCGCCACCTCCACCACTCAGTGTGCTTATAGCAGCACCTACCATCGCGCCCGCCGCGGCTGTCGCGGAAGCGAATGGCTTGTTGGCCCAGTCATATGATTGAGGTTGACCCTGGCTTCGCGTTCGATCGCCTAACGGCGTAGTTGATCGGCCGAAGCCCAGCGCACTGGACATGCGGGCGACGAGACCGGTTTCTTGCTGGTCATCCACCGTAGTTGAGAGATTGCGGTATCCTTCTTCCGTCCCACGCCATCCTGGAGGCGGTGGGCCGCCTTGAAAGCCTCCAGGAGGAGGAGGTCCTTGAAACCCGCCCGGTGGCGGAGGCCCTTGGAAACCATCAGGAGGGGGCCCGAACCCTCCAGGCTGTTGTGGACCGGGTGTCATTGGCATGGGAGCGCCACCTGGAGGAGGAGGTCCTCCTTGAAAACCAGCCGCCATCGGTGGTCCGGTTGGTAGAGCTCCGCTCATCGACGCATAGCCAGGAGGAGGCGGCCCTCCCTGATATTGTTCATCTTCGCTCGATTCCTCATCATCTTTTCTCTCGCCCCAGACCCAGGCAGCAACGCCAATGGTCGCTGCTGTCACAGTGAGTACAAGAGGAACCCAATACCCAAATGTCGACCTGCTGCCCGAGTATCCGTACCCTCCAGAGGTGGTCGTCTTTCGTTTGCGCTCCGTCACCGTGTATGAGTAGGACATGGCTGCGCGGGGATGTCACTTGGGGGCTAAGAGATCGAGTGCGCCTGGAGAAGGGAGAGGGTTTGGGTGCGACCGAGGATTGCGACAACGTCAAGTTCTGAAAGGCCGGGTGGTTGGGTGGAATGATGGAATCTGGCTTTTGTTTACTTTTCTTCAGCCGAGGCTCGCTCGTATGTTGATGCGGCGACTCAGGGGAAGTTTCAAGAGAGTGTAAGATCCGGCATCACAAGATGCTGTATTCGTGACTCTCGCATGGGTAAACTGGAAAAAAGTTGACATGGAGGAGGAAGAAGAGAAAAATAGGCAAGGTGTTTTGGTGAGCTGAGCGCCTCGATTCAATGAATCCGCGTGGCTGGAAGCGGCATCTTGTCCCCAGCCCACTGTTTCCCCACACGGGCTCACTTACTGCAGTAGGGCGATCTGGTGTTCCGATCGAACTGTTCGACTCAGTAATGGAGGAATTCTTGGGACGACGAGACTTCTATCAAGAGATTATTGCTAAGAGCCCTCCCGTGATACTGTATAATGACTGATACCTCGGCCACCCGACGGCGGCCACCTCGAGCTCAGCCTGCAGCAACAAAGTCCGCAGCCGCCTCGACAACAACGTCAGATGAGCCTGAAGACACAACCTCTCGTGTCATCTCTCCTCTCGATATTTTGCGAGTCATTCTCACGTTAGCCTTTGCCTCCTGTCTGCTCTCATACTACCTCACTTCTGGAACCTCCCTGCTCTACAAATACGAACCGTGGTTCTTGAACCCGTCCAAGTTGTCCCAATGGTGGACAGGCCCGATTGTCCTCACACCGGAACAGTTGGCAGTCTATGATGGCAGTGACCCTGCGAAGCCTATTTATCTGGCCATTAATGGGACAGTCTTTGATGTTACTGCGGGCAAGCACACGTACGGACCAGGTGGGAGTTATGAAGTGTTTGCCGGGAGGGACGCTACGCGGGCCTTTGTGACTGGATGCTTTCTCGAAGATCGAACCGGGGACTTGAGGGGTGCAGAGTTGATTTACATTCCCATCGAAGACGACCCAGACGAGGACATATCGAGTGCCGCAAGGAAACTTCGCGCAGAGAAAGAACGACGAGAAGCCAGAAAGAAAGTTCTGGACGAAGTCAGAAGATGGGAGGGGTTTTACAGGAATCACAAGAAATACTTTGAAGTTGGAAAGTTGGTCGGCGTCCCCGAGTATACAGGCGAACCACCGAAGCTGTGCGAGCCAGCAGACAAGGGGAGGCCCAAGAGGAAGAACATGAACTCGAAAAAGGAAAAGAAAAAGGACGCACCAGGAAAACCTGTACAATAGAGCGATTCTACGGACACGAAAGACACGGCAAGGATGGATCATGTGGAGGGCATAAGCGGGATCGTGGTCACTTTGGGAGTTGTGGGTTTATTCGCGTTCGTCTGCTGTTTGCCAGGATTGTAATAGCTGCAAGCGATCTAGTTCACCACATAAGCCTAGGAGACCACTTTGAAGATACAATTGTGCAAGCGCCAGTTATTGATGGTGACAATGGTATTCGTTCTCATCCAGCCTTTGGTGGACATGTGCGATTTCCTTTTTGCAATGTGATTCCTCTGCCCGGTCTATTGACCCAGCATTTCCGGTCCCTGGTCCATGCAATATCATCAACATCATTTCACGGCGGACAGCGTCCCATCGACCAAGTCTGCGCTGTAGCTCTCGCCCTCATTTTGCGGGTCCATCTACACTCCTCTCGCTGTCCCTCGCGTCTAATCGCCACCGGCAGCCGCTCTCGTGTAGATGCTGCCTGTGCTGTGTGCGACAACCTTCCTGATCACGCCCCTCTCCTCGAGATCTGCGAGCGCCTTTCTTGCGAGCGACCCATTGATCTTCAATCGGTCGACCAGCACGGCGACGGTGATGAGGCGGTACGATTGGACGTCCTTGTTGAGCTTGTCGGAGGTGGCTTTGTCGAGGACAACAGCGTGGTTGGCCTTGTCCTTGACTATACACGGAAAATAGAAGAGTAAACGTCAGCAAGCTTGTTAGGACGACGTGACTACGTGGGATGTTATGATGCCGATGGCTGGAGATTCAGAGAATATGGGTGAAAATGTTGATCGAAAACGTACCCTTTCCCTTGGACCACTTCTTCTTCTGCTTCTTGCCGCCGGAGGATGCTGCGGGCGCCTGAGCAGGTCAGTAATGCATTCCAAATTGATCAGTCGCGAATTTGGGAGGGTGCGCATACCATTTTTGCGGTGTTTGATGGTTTGTTGGACGAAGTGGTTGAGGAGTGCAAGTTCTGGTCTTTGAATGATGGAGAGACTTATTGCGCCCCGCAGACTCCCGATGTGGCATCTAGGGCAAAGGTCTTGGCACTGTTGGAGGCCCAAAAATCCTTCATTAGGAGAGCACCAATTTTACGTCGACAACTCTCTGGGATTACAGATTCATGGTTTGAAACGATTTTAGTTCATTCAGGAGGATAATCCCCTAGATCTAGCTGCAAATGATCTGACTTCTCCGCGAAACCAGGATCTGAAGCTGAACAAGACTTTTCTGGGTATCTCAATTCCCTCGCTAGTGCGTGCCACATGCAGAAACGTTTCAATCCATAGCCATCTAGTAGAAGAAGCCGATGATCTTTCCAGAGACATGCTTCCGTCGGGCCTCTTCGTGGTCCATGATACCCGCGCTGGTAGTGAGAACAATGTAGCCGAACTGACGGGATGGCAGCAGCTTCACAACCCACTTCTCGAGGTCACGGAGTTGGACGTTGTATCGAGGGGAGATGACTCCGGTCTTGTTGAGACGGCCATTGAGTTGGATAACAACTTTGCCGCTGCGGTGGTCGTCGACCTCTTCGAATTCGCCGATGTAGCCTGTCAAGAACATCATGTCGTTAGTCGACGCTTGGGATGTGACTTGTGATGTTGCGACCGAATAAACATTAAACAAACATGGATAAAACGAGCAAGCAAATGTGTAAGACTCAGTCGCAGGAGAAGAATCAATCTTTCGGGCACTTAAAGGGCAAAGGTCGTGGGGTGCAATAATTTGAAACCGCCGCCTAGTTATCAACCCGACAAAATTTTCAAGAATGTGTGGTATGCCAGAATCCTCCTCTTTTCAACAAAATGGGAAGCGTAGGACGAAGACGTACCGTGCTTCTGCATGACAGACAGGAACTTGATGATGACCTTGGAGCTGGGTCGGATCATGACCTGGCGCTTGCCGGCCTTCTCGGCATTGTTGATGCTCTTAAGAGCGTCGTTGAGGACGGATGTCTTGACCATTTTGGCGGTGGTTTGGGACGAGTGAGATTCTCAAGTTCGTTTGGAGTGCGAGGAACTTGAGGTATCTGCAAGTGAGGAAATATGTTAGTCTTCAGAAGCCTTCGAGCCAGAAGAGTGCCCAGTCAAGGGTTCTTCAGCTCGTGTCGCGAAGGATGGAGCGTGTCCAGAACTGCGGTGACTTTGGAAATGCTACAATCCAGGACCTGCAGTCGGATTGCTCATCCTAGGCTAGCTGAAGTAGGGCCGCGGCGTTCACATACCTCGTTGTAGATAAAGATGTTGACAATGTGAGGTTTGTCTTTTGTTGGATGTGCAGACAAATTCTGGCTGCGATGCGGGTGCAGGTTAATTGAATTTCGGTTGTGCACCGTGCCAAGAGTTCCCAAGCGCTAATCCCAAAACGGGGAGTTTGTTCGGATAAGGCTCCATCAGAGCCTTGCCGCATCAAAGCCTTTCCATTTCTCAGAAAAGGGAGTCAACATTCTGTAACCTGCTCTAATAGAACCAGGGATCAGACCAGTGGATTATCGATTGACATATACTTTCTAGCAATGCCTTACTCAGTTGTCGAAAAAGGATCTCGGCAAATGGTGGCATGAGCATAGATGTTCTCATGCCGCCACTTTCGGAAGTGTCTCCTAAGCAATGCCAGTCTCCGTGTTACCACACTGGGAGATATTTCCGCAATTGGTTTCACATGTTGGGGTTGACAATGATGGTTAGGATCAGCAGGCTAAGGAGCAACTGCCGGACGCGTTTAGAGACATGGCCCAAACTCCCTCGAAACAGACGATGGTGAACTTACCAGAGCCACGACCGGGATGAATACGAGCACCACCAATCCACTTGTGACGATCTGCTTTTTCTGGGCCATGGCATGCTGGCAGGCGAAAAACCTCCATGCTCCTGCCAGGGTTATGGCGATTCCGATGACTAGCGTCACCACTGCGAGTGGAATGCCCAGATCGTAGTCGCTCAGCTTGCCTGCGGGGACTGGATCGTGCTTTAATCGGTAAAGCTGGAGAATCGTGATGGCGAAGTTGGCGAGTGCTGAAGACGTTCGGATATATCCAAGGAAAACCCGTTCGTTGGCAAGGTGGTCCCGGGCGGCGCGGAGGGGTACATGATGAAAGGCCCATGAGAACAGATGCCTCCAAGTTCGTCGTTGAGGTTCGTGGGTTTCTCTTGATGCGAGACTGGAAATACCGGCATTGGGTAATGGATCAACCCGAGTTGTGTCCCTCTGCAACGTATTCAATTCGTGTTCCTCGTATTGCGCACCACTCCGTCTCGTCGGGCTGGTCAGACTGTTCCTAGCATCAGCCATGGCTTCGACGTGGGTTGGATGAAGTCCATATCGTGATTCAGGATTGAGCCATCACAGAGGATATATGTTCAGCCATCCAGGCTAAAACTATCTCAGAACAGGAGGAGTCTGTGGCGCTTGATATGGTCCATGATTCTCCGTAGAACGAATAGAACTATCGCTACGTTGAAGCATTTTATCACTGCGGTAAATTCTCATATATTGCTGAGTATCTACGACTATACTGGTTCTAGTTATGTTTGTGCTGGCGCTTTGAGAAGAGTGAGAACACAGAACACTGGCATAAGAATGAGACAGATTGGCCGGGACAAGGCTGTGAAAGTCGAGCACGGGCTTTAGGCAGGATGCTACCATCATCATGGAGCTGATGTTGACGGAAACCAATGTGGCGGGTAAGCATAGCGTTCTGGGAGTCACAAGGCATGTGCGTCAGCAGGTACTCCTATGTATAAGAAAAGCATCTGCCCATGGCATGTACCCCAAGATTCGAGACATCCTTGTGAATTGATATATTCTGCAGTAGACACGATGCGCCGCCAACGACGGTGGGCCCATCCAGCTCGACTGATGGCCGTATGGCCGACTGCGTACATCTTTGTCGACATATTGCTTATCGATGCAGCATCAAATGTGCTCACATGTCGACGTAGTATCCAAGCAATGAAGATTGGGCTGAGACTTTTCAGGCAAGTTGTCAATTTCAACGGCTGAGAATCTGTCTCATCCAAAGCACGAGATACCAGATTGCGCACCTGGATAGAAGTCATTTCCATGGATGAAGTGTAAAACCCCAAGATGGATTCGAACAAGGGCTTCTCAACAGGGAAATCGAGTGAAGTGACTTGAACACACCACACCCTGCCGCACCTGGCAGTGAATAAAGAGGACAAACCTGTTCTCACTGCGCAAACATTCACCAAACAATCATCTCTCCCTCAAAGCACCATCACTTGTCGGGTGGTCACTATTTCGTCGGAAGAATCACTGTGCTCGTCTGAGTTCGGGCAGATCATCCAGTCGCCATGTCCGCGCCTCGCCCGACGTCCGTTCGCATGAGAGAAAAAGATGCCCATTCCGTGTACTTTTGCGAGAATTCGTGCCGCACGAGTTACTCCGGGTGTCTCGATGAGGACTTGTCCATGACCGAGCAGGAAATCGCTGAATTCATCCGATATTCAAACCCAGGCCTCTACGAGAGGTTGAACGGCGTACGGCTTCCGAGCTCGTATGTCGCACCAGATGACACACCTGGTCATGGGCATTGCTTGATCCCAGAAGCGATTGTCGAGAACGGACCAGCGTCTCTGTTCAGTGAGACAGATACCACTTTCGAACACGCGACTGGCTCAGTCGATGCCGATTGTCCGTCAGAGCTCGACCATGTGTGCACTTCCAAGCCAGAGTCGCGTCCCGCAGCAGAGCCTATCGTTCTCGGTACGCATATCCTCCCTCGGTGGCGTCGGTAAGACTAACATGTCAGTAGCAGATAGATATCACTTTACCTTCTATCAGCACAGTGAGCCCGGGGTCGTGTACTGCTGCTCTTCACCGACCTGTCCGAACCCTCGCAACGTGATCCCACTTGGTAACTACTTCGGCATCATACGCGACGAAGCTGCGACTGAAGGAGACGATCAACCCAAGGGATACAACCGTATCGCATATTATTGTCTCGATTGCCTCGACGAAGTTGTGGACCGCGAAGAGCAATTGGAACAGGGGCAGAAGGCGGGTGCGCGGCTTGTGGACGGCGCTCAACCTGACAGGAATGTGATTCTTCACAAAGCCCTAGGCATTTATCCGGAGTTGGACCAGAAGGAATTCTTTTTCGTGCGCATCCCCTCTGAAGAAGCATCGGAAGTTGAACCAGGCGACGCCTCGAATTCGAAGAAGGCGACTCGTCTGCGTCGGCAGAAGCAACTTGAAATACACCGCATTGCGCAAGACTTGCGACAGCAGCAGCTCACAACGAGGTATCGAATGTACTTCAGAAAGAGCATGCCCGATCCATCAGGTCTCAGGATACTAGGCCCTTTGGAATCGCAGCCATATAGAGATCGATACAGGAAACAGGGACTCGAGTGGATTCACCGACTTGAAGGTTCTGAAGTCAGAAGAGCCTGGAATGGTGAGGACAGAACAGCCACCACTGACGCATCCGCTCCAGATCATGAGATGGAGGATACGCCTGTCTGTTACTGCAGGGAGCCAGCTGATGAAGGTCCTATGCTGCGTTGTGAGTCTGCATCATGCATGCTTGGGCCGATTCATTTTCGTTGTTCAGGCCTATCTCAGTTGCCTCTGGAGACAGAGGATTATCGGTGCGGGTACTGCATGAGTGCTACCACAAGAGACAAAGAACAAGGTTGCGAAGGCGGGCAGGTGGGGAATTGTACTCACGAGACCGAGAATGAGTATGATACATCAGGTACGGAGTCTGATAATGAAGATTCTGGCGGCACAATCCGCGGACAGGAAGAGTCTGACAACGAAGATGAGGATGGCATTGTTCCATCTGCACCAGGGTTTATCGCAGTCAATCATGTTTCGTCCCAAGGCAAACTGTTTTGATTAGCACTGTCAAGGACTCCGTTCGAACCAGGGTGGCTTCTATTGTTGGTGGAGCAGATGTGCATTGTTGGACAATGGTGCTGCAACGGTTGACCAAGTTGGACTATGGTGATGGAGAAATGACGACATGAACTTCAGACAACTGGTCTGCAAATGGATGCCCGGAGACAGAGGGCTGAGAGTAATGATTGCTTGTCTGACACAAAAAGGAGATGAGAGGTCGACTTATCATACTGTGTGGTCTTGCCGTCACGGGTGTGGTTCCGGGTCTCAACATGTGCAAAATCAGGAAGAGAATGTGTGAGAGACAGATGACGAGAGATACGATCGGGCCAGGAGTCTTCCGGGCATCACCAACGGTGGCCGAATAGCTGCAAGCTGCTCCTGAAAGCTAAGATGTGCTTGTAGTAGATAGTCATCGAAAGGCATCATCGACGAGCCTCTGCTGGAAATTGCTAGCGAGTTGCCCGAGGCATAAATTTGTTCCACAGTGACCGAGGTTCTCTGGGTTTCTTTGTGCATATTGACCCATGCCACAGTTGATGGAGCCGACAAGGGTATTGTCGACATCACTGGCGATCCGATTCCGGTAGCAAGGGAAGTTCTGCCGCTCAATAAGAGGCTGGAACAAGGCTATTCATTCATCCTGGGCTAAGCTGGGAACTCTCGTCATACATCGAAATAAACCCTCAAAGGGGAACTAAATCCATTCGAAAAGAAAAGAAATCGCTGCTGTAGTCTGATGTCGATCTGTCTTGACCTCGCGGTCTCGTCCTATGGTCTTTTGAGATTGCATCAAGTCGCGAATCAATCACAAGGCCGACCTACCGAGCAATATTACAAGCCTTTCCACCCAACTCGAGCCAAGTCCACCCGATTCCCTGCCTTTGAGCCTGGATGCCAGCAATTCAATTGCCCAGATGTTGTAACTAACGAGAAAGTCAATAGAATTTCTGCCCCGACTGCAGGCAGGATTCCGACGCAGTCAAACCTTCCACAGTCCCCAGAAACAATTAGGAGATTAGGCACATTAAACCGAGACTCCTGGGACAGTCGTCGACAATAGGTAGACTGTAGACCCAAACGCGTCGTCTTCAGCGTCATCCACAAAAGTCAATGTCTACGGTTAGATGTTTTGAGGAAACCTTCGGCCAGCTGTAGTGTTGCTATATCCATTCCGTTCCTTTGAAGACGTTGTTGTGCTATGCCAGGAGTGGCTTCAGGCTTCTCATGGCCGTGTAGAGTGGAACTCAAGATGATGTCGTCGGCTGAAAGCTCTGTCGTCGAGGAGATCACAGCGCTTTTGTCCTAGAGAATAAACTGCTGTACACAGCGTCAACGACGGGCTGTGCGCTGATCTGCCTACCGCCAAAATAACGTCCGTTAAGGCCTTTGATGGCGTTTTCTCCGCCTGAAACGCGCTCGAACTTTAGGTAGATATCACCTTGGGTGTTGGGGTCAAGGGCGATGTGCACGACGTGGCCGTACTTCTCCTCGCATTCTGCGCGAACGTCATCTTCCAGTTCTTTAATCCAGGAATCACCTTCTTCCCTGTTTGCATCATGTTAGTATCAAAATATGTGAGCGGGGCCGTCATAAGGGGATCAACTTACTCGGCAGGATCAAACATATTGCGAAGTAGTACACATCTGCTTGCCTGGCTGACGTTGACAGGAAGCGGCTTGCTTTCCTTTTTAGCAGGCACGGTAGCGCGCTTCGTATCGGTCTCTGCAGATGTGTCATCTGTCCTAGCCAGTTTCCGCATCAACGCATCTCGGCTATAGTTGTTGAAATTCACACCAGCGACGTCTGTATCATCCAAAGCACTTGCTCCGCTCGTGCCCTTTTCATTGTCGCGGCCACCTGCACGATCAAACGCGCCTCCTGAGCCTCCGGCATGAGAACCACGGCCACCGGAGCCTGAAAATGCCGAGCCTTGATAGCCAGGTGGGTTTTGGCCTTGAAAGCGTTGGAGGAGGTTGGCAGTCGACTCGGGTGTGAATTTGTCGTTTCCGAGTCCAACTCGGATTGGCCGGCCTGCAAGGTCAAAACCATTCATCTTTTCGAGGGCCTCACGTGCTTGATTTGGATCACGGAACCTAGACGATATTAGCATACACCCGTGCGAGCCCTGGGACGAAACTCACTGTACAAAACCATAACCACGGCTTCGCCCGCCCTCATCTTTCTGTAGCTGTACAAACTCAAGCTCACCAAATGGCTCAAATACGTTCTGTAGATCTTGTTCAGTAATACTGAAGTGGATGTTTCCCACGTAGAGACGATGGAAGGGGATGGTGTTGTGATTGCTCGTTGTAGCCTCTGGATTGCGGGCCTGGCGATTCTTTTCTGCTTCAGTGAGTTGTGCAATTATGGGAATGCCGAGGAGTTTCTGTCCGGTCATTTGTATGGCTAGAGGGACGGACTCTTCGTTCTTGAACTCGACGTAACCGACACTGTACACGAGTTAGCAGGAGACTGCGCCAGTTAAAGGAGTCTTGGCTTACCCTTTAGAACGACCACTAACTCGATCCTTGACAATCTGAGCTTCTGTAACAGGGCCGACTTTCTCAAAGAACTGGATCAGCTCCTTGGTGCGCAGGCGGGCGGCAAGCTGCTGAACAAATACGGTTCTCCTGTCACGCTCATCCTCAGTAAGTTGTGGCTCAGGAGTCTTGCTCTTGACACGCTTTCTGGGACTTCCCGAGCGACGTCGGTCTCGGTCGCGATCGCGTCGATAGTCATCATCTTCACGCCTAGATCGTCCAACCGGTCGGTAATAGCGATCGTACTCTGGAGACCGAGAACGTCTACGATGATGGTCATCGTCACGTTTGGAGCGTCTTCTATCATCGTCCCGGTCACGGCTGCGGCTTCTCCTCCTGCTGCTTCTGTGACTGCCGTTAGCACTGCCATGCTCGCTCCTAGGACTCTTCATCTCATCATCACGATCTCGACGGTGGTCTCGGTCTCGGCTTCGATCTCGTCTCTTGCGGTCCTTGTCGCGATCACGGGAGCCATCACGGTGCTTGTCTCTGTCACGGCGATCGGAGCGGTCGCTACGATGACGGTCATCACTATCGCGGGGAGAGTCTTTGCTCTTGACATCGTTGGTGGCGGTCGAATCGAGCAACGCCTCGACATCAAGCCCTGACATGTTGAGGAGTAGTTGGTGGGTTGCTTGACGAACAGATCTGATTGATGCGGAATGGAGTAGTTCACTTGGATGTGGTCAGAGCCGGAATCGGAACCAGGGCGTGCGCAGGCAAACCCTTGCAAATGAGCAGTGTCCTGAAGCGCTCTACTGGGTCGGCGAGAGTTCAGGAACAGTTCTATTTTGTACGCGAGGAGCGAGTGTCACAGTCCTCGCAAGCGAAAAATTAGAGTGAACGAGAGAAGCGGCCGGAAATGTGATTGCTTGACGCTGCGTAAAATGCAAGGCCTTTGAAAGGCAAGAAGTTTCTCGAGTTCGCAAAAACCAGAGGGCAGCTTGGCGAACAATGGACGATGGCCACGTGCGAGGCACTGGCAGGCGGTCACGTGTAGCGCCTTCTCCGATTATTGGTCACGTGGGAGTCTAATAAGGTCATCGTCGCTAGACCTTCCAAGATAGCACAGCCCCCGCTTTACCACGGAATTGACGACAGCCTCACAGTCGGCGCTTGTTGTCCTGCAAGACATTTCCAGGGTCTCGGAGATTGTTACCACGGGGTCTGGGTGGGCTCTACCTGCACAGCATACACGTCTGACACCTCTATTGGGTAACACACCTTGTATAATGCTGACAGATCGAGTAAGAACTTATGTACTCGGCACACTTCCTGTTTCTGAGGTTCCTCCTTTATGACGGCGACCTTCCTTCTGGAGAGTCCGCGATGACTACCGGCATCAACAGTCATCAACAAGGATGCCCGTTCCTATGAAGTTCTGCGTTGCTGGACGAATGGAACAGGCGACTTGGTTCTTCGCGGACTTGAATTCGGAAAAGACGGGGTTCCTGGTGAACCTCGGGAAAACAGTTTCCATCTCCACCTTTCCAAGTCCTTGGCCTTCGTGTTTCCCCAGGATATAAAATGGCCAACGCAAGTTGTGTAGAAAAGGTCGGAAAACTAGATTTGACGTGATTAAAATCCTCTAGACTCACTAGACACAGGCCTCTTTGGTCCTTTAAAAACAACCAGATCTGATAGATCCAGCCCAGTTCATTCATCATGGCTCGATCCCAGGCCCATGCTGAGCGTAACGACGTCATCCGTGCTGGGATGACTTCTCTGGAAACTGCCCTGAGCGCCACAGTGCCTACCAAAGACACCGTTGCGTCCGAAACTGCGCGGCTAGGTTCGCCAGTCAAAACTGAGGAGATCCCAGACAGTGAGGGAGCAAAGATCCACTGGATAGGCGACAGTTCCGCTCCGAGTGTGATTCTCTATTTTCACGGTACATGAAGATCCCCAGCGCGGTCGACGACCTATATTTTCTCTCTCTCTCTCCTTTATTACCTCGCGAGCGTAGCTGACTGCCGAAATCGTTAATAGGTGGAGGACTCGGCATTCCAGCCATGCCAGGACATGTTTCTTTCCTCGTGGACACACAGCAACGACTAGCGAAGGAGGGCAAAAAGCTATCCATTGCTTTCGTCGAGTATGGTGAGACTGAGACTATCAATCCTGTAAGAAAATCGAAGTGACAAACTAAACTTCTGCCCCCGTAGGTTTGTCGCCCCAACATAGGTTTCCGACGCAGTATCGCCAGGCTGTCCTGGCTCTTAAAACCGTTCTTCAATCCGGTCGAAAGCCATCAGATGTGAGCGAACATATTCTCCTACTTTTCAGGGGAGTTCGAGAACAGACGTACTAACAAGGTCGACAGGTCATTGTCGGTGGCGACTCTGCCGGTGGTAACCTGGCCGTGGCCATCCTCTCCGCGACAGCGCACTCTCATCCCGGAATCCCATCCCTAAAACTCGACGCTCCCCTGAAAGGGGCCCTCCTAGTCTCGCC